GCACACCGACAAATGCGCAAATAGCAAGTTATGCATCGCCAATTTAAAGATGATAATGGATTTAGTCTTAGTTGGTTTTCAGCCAAAATACATCATGTTTAAAGCTAACAATATATTAATAATCATAATAAATGTAATAATAATTGTATGCATATTTTTAAAAAAATTAACTTTTAAATGTATAGACTAATAGTATAGTAATAAAATGTTCGTTCTAGTAGTACTGCTACGTCATAATTTTTAAGAGATGTCATTTCAAAAATTTTAATTGGATATTTAAGTCTTAATCAGCATGTTAAACCATCGTAGTATGATGGAAGCTCGTAAAATGATTATTAAACAAATAACAGCAGTACTACTACTTAAGCATATAGTTGAAAATAAGACGTATACTTATACATTATACTAAAAATAATTGTGTTTTTTTTTTAATAAAAGAAAGAGGAATATTAGTCTTAAAATAAGAGTTGGCATTGCACGTTTCTAAAGGCAAAGTACGTTTTAAAACATGCATTCATGCAACCGATTTGAAAAAAATTGATTAGTGATTAACACGTAGTTTTATTCCAACCCCTCTTTCAACCCGCAGATTTATTAGGTACATAATCTTGGTTATTTATAGTGTAGAAGGAAGTCCTAATTGAATGATGAAATTACTGTTGATATTTTATAACACATAACTTTGCAATTAGGATTTAAACTACCATTAGAACAATACGCAAACTTCAAGTTAAAGGTCATTACTACTCTATATTCTATATATTATTATAATGTCCAGCAATATTCTTTCAGTTCAAATTTTTTTTTTTATACCTGTTGCTATTAAGTAAGCTCTAGTGCTTCCTCATTAATTCTGTAATAGTTAAGTATTAGTATAGTAGACTCTAGACAAACACATATGTTTGGGGGGGGGGGAATGATTTTTAAGGACTCTTTGCCAATAAGTCAATTAAATGACAATGTGAAGAGTTTGTAGCACTAGATTTAAAATTTATTAGCTTTTTATTTGTTATTGAATACTTCTCAAATGTTCAGATGAAAAGTATTTTTTAACAATAACTCAATATATTTTTAAGTGACTTGCTTTATGGAAAGTGTGAAAATGAAAGGCAGTATTTTCATTAAACATTGTGACGAAAGTTTACAAATAGTTTTGATATTTTAGTGTATCTCCCTAGCCATAATGGCTATAATAATTACATGTACTACCATACTGAATCATATCTGTCAGTAGTTTAAATGGCCAAAGAAAGTGTATATCTAAGTTAATTTTTTTTGTCAATCAAAGAGTTATTAAGTAGTGAACCTGTCAAATTGTTGTGTGTAACAAGATTTAATAATAATTTCATATGTGTATGCCTCATGTATACATTTCTTTATTTTTTCTCTTTTAAAAATTCAAATTTTTTAGAAACATTTAACTGTTATGTGTTTTATTTTGAAAAGTTTAAATGTACATTTA